ATTTTGGTGAACCTCCTCTGACCCTGCAGCTCTTAACCTAGAATGAATGTTGAAAAACTCAGGAAATACAAAGAAGATTAAGTTAAATCATGTTTTAAAGCATTCATAGAATTTAAAACCACATTTACCCTACCATGCTGTACGGGTTATGTACTGTAGCATACCAGAGGTCTGTGTCGTTTCCACCCTGCTTTCTGATGCTAATTAGTAACGTAGTAATGATCGCAAAGAAACAGTTCGCTCTAAGAAAACCTGGTTTAACACGTCATAAGCTTAAACACACCACCTTCAATTTGCATGGCCCAACCCATTCCAACGTCAGCACATATGAACATTGGTTGCAGTAATGCTAACCGTAGAACAAGGCTATCCCAAGCTACTGCTAACACTAGCCTGAGCAACTGCTAACCTCCTTGTTGGACGAGAGGAAAACAACAAAGAAGAATGTTGATGCCCTCAGCATGTTTCCGGGAAAATCCGGACATTAAATGAACCCCAAATAGATTGTGTCGTCTTCCTTGTTCCTTCATAACCATTTGCACCACAACATGTTTAGCCATTTCTCATGGCTCCTCAGTCATTGTGAGCACCAACAACTTTGCATGCTAGGTTCCTGACAGGTACTAGATGCCGAGATCACATTACTCCAGTGCTGGATGATCATCACTGGCTCCCGGTGCAATATCGATTTAAGATCTTAACTCTTGTTTATAAGGCCCTCCGGGGCAGTGCCCCCTCTTACATTACTGCACTTTTGCACAAGTATGTTCCATCTCGGTCTCTTCGCTCAGCCGAGCAGGGACGTCTGGTGGTCCCCCGGTCGAAATATCGATCGAGGGGTTATTGTGCATTTTCTGTTTTGGCTCCAACTCTGTGGAATGAATTGCCATTGAGCATTAGGCAGTCGCCGTCCCTTCAAGTATTTAAGTCTCGTCTGAAGACTCATTTCTATTTGATTGCTTTTCAGCACTAGGGTTCATTGAATTGCCCTGACATTATGGTTTTTAATAGTTCTTCTTTTTGATCAGGATGCTTGATCTTATTTTGTCCACCATTTGTTTTTAAATGATTAGTCTCATCCCGTTACTTCTCTGTATTTGTAACATTGCTTGCTTGTTATTTTATGATTTTATGTTTTTATCTTGCTCTTATGCCCAGGTACTGAGAATGTTTTTATGATGCTGTTCAGCACCTTGGGCTTCTGATAACGTTGCGGAAGGTGCTCTACAAATAAAATTGTTGATTGATTGATGTGCTATACAGTGGCTCAACATTTTGTTATACTGACTTACTTATTTTCTTGTTTTATATTCTAACGGAACAGTGTAAAAATATTGGGGTCTGTCATCAATGATTCAATATTTGGCTAAAAAAAGCCTAATTTATTTGCTTTCATAGCAAATTAAAGCTATCGAGGTCAGGAGATGTGGACCTAATACCATGAACAGAGATGAAGGAGTGTACAGTGTACACTAGATCACTTATGGGACATGGTTATCACAAAGATGGTGTGGGCAGTAGAGGGCGACACAGCTGATAACGCAAAGAAGTGACATCACCACCACTCTGAGGAAGGCGCCAGTGAGAGCAGAAATTGTCAATGAAAAAAAAAGCTAAAACAACAATTTTGCTAGTCTGTGTACTATTAAAAACACAAAAAAATAACAGCTCGTTAATGTTCTATATACTTTAATGTGTCTTGGAATATTCCAAGTAAAACAAAAGGGGTTGTGATCCCTACAAAAAGAACTAGAGCAACAGAAGACTTGGAAAATGACAGCAGAAAGAGAAATATAACTAAAATAGAACACGTTGCAAATAAATAAAGGAGATTCGAGATCAAGATCAGCCAGAAAATGTCCCAAAGGTGACATAAAAGGGAAATGAATTAATAAATGTTGAAATAATAGCCACCATGAGTCACTAAAGGAGCAGTTTACTCACAACAAATGAACCCAGGATACACACAGCTACAAAATAATGTAAAATATTCAGACCAAAGTATGAAGTTCAATTAACATGATTTAAATTAAACACATAAATGAGTTGAATGACTCTAAAATGTTAAGGAAAAGTGCAAAAATATTTGTAAAACAAATGTTTTGTTGCTGTCTTGTGTCTGTTTTAGTTTGGCTTTAGTATTCATCCTCGGTAAAGGACAAGACCTTTAACAGATTTTTATCCAGAGGGCCTGATGTTTTATCATCCAGTCAGAGCAGTTAGAACTATTCAAGCCTCGATGACCAATCCGACAAAACAAACCTCTGTTTGCAAATTACGTCCTTCATTTTAATTTGGAAGGCACAAAACATCCTGAACTACAACAGACCATCTTTTTGAGAGGCCTCGGTCAATATACCTGTTCTAACTCAGGGTACTTTGGCCTTTGTCATACTGTTGGAGGAGATAATAACATTCCTCATTAGTAAATTAAACCATTGCAAAGGGAAACATACTGATAGTCGTTAATGAATCTCTCAGATCGGTGGCAAATATGCTCAGTTGATGAAATAGTTTCTGGAGTGTTAACTCCTCGAGAGCCTAAAACAACAAAGACACCAGAAACTTCATCTGATTCTGGAATAACGCAAAATTATAACGTTTCAGAACACGATGTTACCGAAGCTCTAACTTTTGATTTTGAAGCTGTTCAAAACAGGTCAATTTAATAACTAAAAGCAGTTTCTACATCAATAGCAGAGGAGTCTTCAGAAAACGTAGAAAACCTGCATCACATAGAAACAGAGGGACGCATTGCTCTGCTAAATTTCTGCAGCAGCTCAGGTGCGGAGTCCTGCACACAGAATGACATTTCTAATCAGATACCCTTTGCATGGGGATACTGCCAAGCAATTGCCAAGCAGAGCAACAGGGGTGTATCACTTTTCTGAAGGAGGTTCAGCCACCATTGCAGACACATCTCTGGTCCATGATAGTTTATTTACTATTGTGTATTTGTATTTATATTGTTTTTATGTATTTCAGGGACTTTTTAACGTATTGTTATATTAGTGCCACCTACTGGTGAACCTGAGTATTACACTTTGAGGTGCACATGCTTTGGTCAGATGATCAATAAGACACCGGCTATTGGAGACTGAAAACTCAAGCTGGAAAGCAAACTAAGGACAAAATTAAATGTGGATAGGGACATAAAATGGCCAATATGGACTGCAGTTGCTCTTGAATGCCTGGTAGAAAGGCATGTAAGTTTGTGTATTTAAGCAATATTATGGCCATTTTGAACTGTACATTTGATTAATTATGATGAATTATGAAGAGACATCTTTTTGCATATAACCCTACCAAGAATTTTTTTCACCAGCCACCATTGTTACCAATTCAAGCACAAACTGAGGAAATGTACCTCCCAAAACCTAGTTTTTGTGACAAATTTAGATAATTTGACTGAAAAATTACAATATGACCAGGATTTCAACTTTAAATTTAACACACTTACTGAATTAAATGGCTGCATTTTGCTAAGAGCATTTCCCACTAAACCATGCAAATGTGATGTTGAATTATTTAACAGTATTTAACCCAAATGTCTGATCGTTTGTGTGTGTGTGTGTGTGTGTGTGTGTGTGTGTGTGTGTGTGTGCGTGTGTGCGTGCGTGTGTGCGTGCGTGCGCGTGTGTGTGCGTGTGATCACATTTCGTGGTTTTGGACACCACATAATGAATTTCTACCAGTTTGATTGAGATTTGCTCCAATCGTAGTTTCATAGCAGGAGATCACCAACTGAAAGTTTTTTTTCTCATCATGTCCAATAAGTGCTCCATTTGCTCATTTTGTGCATCTGTTTTGCAGTTTCCATTTCCAGGACTTGCGGTGCATTCTCTGTTTTTATATGCAAATAACTGATGAAGGGAGTGTCTGCTCTCACCTGTGGCAGAAGGTAAAGATGTGAATCAAGCTTGTGCACAATTTCACAAAGAAGTTAGTGCATATGAAAAAACAAGTACAACATTTTGCCTTTGTACATGTATTAAATTAGATGCATTTTACTCATTTTCAGACCAGTATTTGTGCAGGATATTGCACAGAAAGCGTAAAGGAAGTTGAAAAAAGAAGAAGCGTGTGGAACCTACAAATAAAAACACTACCAGACGAACAGTGGAGAAAACATTGAAAGACCTAAGGCACTAATTGTGAATTAGCTGATCAAAAGTTTTCAGCTTACAGCTTTTTGGGAATCACCTTGTTGCTTGTTGGTGCCAAAAGGTGTGGTACCTTTGGTATTTTTTTTTACATATTCACCTACAGTAATTTGAAATGTGTCAAAGGTCCAGTTTAGCCATCTACTCTGGTACACCCCTTGAGTTTATGGGGTCTTTTTATAGGCAGTTCTGCTCCTTTGAAGTGAAAAATTAAGAGATGAGGGATTTTCTTAACACCTGTCCAGTAATGTACATTATGACCTTTTTCATAGTCAAATATGGTACACCTGGCTCTAATTCTCCATCGTACAACTTTCTCTTTAAAAATCTAGTCTGATAAATTTATATTATTCTTATTATTTTACAAAATGTGTCCTTGAAGATATGCAAATGTGCAGTGCTTTAGGCTAGATAAATATATAAAAATTGAACATTCTTCATATTTTCGCAGGACTACTGTGACTTAGGGGATCTAGGTCATTAGGGACATAAACACCTCCTAATTCTCAACAATTCTCGTTTTAACAGCCTTATAATGCCTTCGTAAATGTTTGTTTTAGGGCTTCCATGACTGTGGAGAAAACACAGGAGCAAAACAAATGGCCTAGCGGGTTGTCTTACGGAAAGCAGACAGAGAACAGCGGGGCTACAGTGACATTTTCCCCACATGCAAAATCATGCAAAAGGTAAATACTCGGGCGGAGGGATACAATCACTATTGCAGAACATGGCCGTCACCTCCGTCATGTCCTCTCACAAACCCGCCCATTTGTGCTTATCTGCTCTGTGATTGGACAACTTGTTCGCACGGCAGCCTCTGATTGGTTTAGTCATGCGTCAATCACAAAAAAACTGACGTCGTTCGTACATTGGGTACGCCGTGTCGCCTAGGTGGATTGTACACTTACATCAACATTAAAGTGGAATAAAATGTCGCGGATTTACGTAAACAGAGACGCCGCTTCATCGCTTTTATTCACCGATTCTTAATCATCACGGGTCAGCTTTGAAGTTGGCGGCGGGAGGCCTAATTTCGTATTAAATCAGCAATATTTCATGGTAAGTGGAATGATACATTTCCTTCCTGCGTCTTTTCTCCCCCTCTTCATGGGTAGAATAATGCCGTTTTGTTATTAATTTATAACAGCGTAATAAGTGCCACTGTTCTTTTTAATAACGCATAACCACACAACCAGAGTGTGAAGGTTAAATGTCCGTAATTTGATCAAAAGTAGTGCGTACTTCAGTCCGTCTTGCCGAGTTACACGGAGAGTCAGGAAGGTAATGGCTGTCGGTCGGTCTGGTAACTAGAGAAATATGAAACGGCCTGTACACAGTACCGCTAGCTCGACCGCTGCTTTGTAAATCAACTGGCAGTGGTGTCCTAAAGAGTGTTTATTTTATTTTTTTATCCAAGACAAAATCTCACACCAGCCTCAGTTTTAAACACGACAGATGAAACCATTACCTCTCTTCCGTCAGTTGGCCTGCTTCAATCTCCAATCTGTCATCCCGCCTGTAAGATGCAAGCTAACAGCCCTCCTCCCTGCTCGTTTTAAGGAAATCGCAGTTTAACTTCTCGTGGACTGCATATACCAGATCTAACATGTACCATAAGCTTATTGTCAATAAGGAGAAAAAGGTTCACAGCGAAGAAAAGAGCTATTGTTGCTGATCCTGATATGATGATTGAAGATCTGTTGGACTGGGTTAGATCTTGTTCTAAATTAGGCACATCAGTTTAGGCAGATTTTTGTTTTACTGTATTTTCTGTACAGAAAAACACCTTGAGGGACTGCCTAGCAGAGACCAGTTTGATAAATTCAGTGACCTGTGTGTGCAGGCATGGTTTCCTCTGCTTTCCCAGGGTAGATACTGAAGCTGCTGTGCTAGAAGTAGGCCAGTTTCCACTGCTGTTAGGCGTCCCTGCAGATGGATTCATATCAGCATCTGTAGATTTGAAACCCCTGTGTTCAAGAGCACTGATTTTATTGCCAATCTGTGAAACGAATGTGTCTTTATTGTTTGAACTGTAAAACTCACAATTTCTGTAAAAAAAACAAGCCACACACTCAACAGAACAGGTAATAAATATTCCCTTGCTTTGTAGTTTTATCCTGTGATGCTCAGCACGATGCATAGAGTTTAGTAGTTTATCTTCAGAAATGGATTTCTGTTGGGGCAACATTAAAGTCTTGACTTTCCATGATTCTTTAGGTTTTTGGTCATCGTAGTTTTATAGCCAGTAAGGGTATCAAATTAGATGTTTGGCACAGATTTGTAACAGATCAGAACAAACAGGAAGATAAACAAGTATGTTTGTGTTTATAAAGGTTTGGATTGGTAAATTGTCACGTTTCAGTGCTGTCCGAAACTCCATTTTAACCTGCTGAAATCATTTCTTCATTCTAATCTGTTTTCATCCAATATTTTTCAGTAAGACAGAAACAATTGGTCAGGTCCAATCTAATAGATTGATAGGCTTTACAATGGTTACCATTTGTGGAGGGCAGATCTAAGGTACAGCTATTCTAGGGTAAGGCAGATGAGCCTTGAAAAAGCCGTTCTAGCTAGCTACATAAAAAAAATACAATTCAAAGGTTGAACCCCATTTCATCTGGCCCCACCCTTAAACCACACCACCATCATACAGAAGAATGCCACACATTGAAGCCTGTCAAACAACCATAAAAACGTAACGCTATCTCACATTTTTGACTCATTCTTGGCACCTTTCCTGCCATTATTCCTAACGTAATGCTCCGTAACAGCCGCCAGGTTTCTGACAGACACTTCATAGTCTAGTGCCGGTCAAGAGTTCTTCGGATTCTGTCTCCACTAAATGTTTTCAAGAGAGAGAAGCCACTGAGACCCAGATCAGTGGTCCAGCAAGGAGGACTGGACTTCTTACTAGGAGTATAACAACACATCAATCTACATTGATTATATGGTTATTGAGCCAAAATGCAAAAATTGATAGAACAACCTTTCATCAAATACACTTTAATTTTAAAACTTACTTCATTTTGATGTTCTGCTGACATCCTGTCTTCCACTTGTTCCTGCACATCACCAGACGAGTTAAATGAAGAAGCTGGCGGCATCATCGCGAGCAGTGGGACAAGTGGACAGTCGTCTCTCCTGAGAAATTATTGTTTAAATTACTTTTAATAGCTTATAGTTTCATATCAATTTGTGGCTCCTAAATTAAATCAAATTGAAATAATATTGTGACTGAATTTGAGATATTAGCAAGCATCCACTATAATATCATATCATGATTAAACTAGTGATTTACACCCTATCTTATTACACTGGAAATCTCTGTTATTTTCACTCGAGCTACATAACTGTATAACGATTCAGTATGCTAGCTAATAGAGCTAGCCTAGCTCCGGCTCCCTTTCTGTTCAGCTGCTCTAAGTCAAGAAGGCGCAGTTTCATGGACAGACCAGGATCCAGTCATTTAGAGCATGGCATTCACAATGACTGTACGTTTCAAAGGAGATTACAGTCATTACTTTTTTTGACAAAACATTCAATTGATTGGTTGCCATCAGTATGCGAAGAGCATTTTCAAGCAATATGGGAAAATACTCCCATCATCCACCCCACCTATCATGAACAATCAGTCCATTTGATATTCATGTCAACATTTTAAAAAATGTTCTAACCTTTTGCTTTCCAATGTACTTCTTTATTTTCTGTCATGCATGAAAACAGACATTTTTCTGACCCTTCGTGAGTATGATGCAAAGCCCTTTGTACGTTTGGTGAAAGTCAACGCTGGAATGCAGACAGTCAGACATTATGGCCGTCATGAAACCTTGTCTGAGTGTGTAAATCAGGGGTGGGCAATTATTTTTTCCATGGGGCCACATGAGAAATAGAAAATATTGTGGAGGGCCAGGCCAAAAGGCTGAAGTCAATTATGCATAATATTAATGGTATTTCTTTATAAAAAGCAGTAAATACCATTGTTTCTTCAAGCTGGTAAGAGTAGACTATATGTTATAAATGAGCAAAAAGGAAAAAGTGAGGTTGTCTTACAAAAATTTGATTTATTCAAATTTCCCAAGGCAATGGTAAACAAAGTGTGCACATTTGGTTTTTGTTAAACATTTGTGACTTATATTAGTTAACAGTTTCAGTCACATTCACTCCAAAACACATTCTGAGTTTCAAATATTGTTGGAAAGAGGTTCTTAGCATTCTACAGACACACAGTATCGTCTGTAAAATAAAATCACTGAACTGTGATCTTGAGAAAGAGGTTTAAAAAAAGTGTCCCAGTTCACTGCTAGTTGCCTACATTTGTGGTCCAAACACCTTATTTTGTGTTTTTAAGTGATTTTTTTCTTATTCAGTGAGAGAAATCTAGTCTCTGCTGGGCTTTAACGAGTGCATCAAAGTCAGGTTGAATGTCTGAGGTGGAGAAGCGAAGCACAGCTGACAAATGATCATCAGTGAGAGAGGATCTTTACCTGGATTTTGTAAACTTCATCATTGAAAATGTTTGTTCACAAATGTAGGTAGAGCTGAAGAGAACCAACATCTTCTGAGCATGTCTCTTCAGGTTTGGAAAGTCCTCCTTAAGAGAAGAGTAGAAATCCAGCAGAGATCCTGAATCTCTGCTTTCAAGTCCCAAACCCTCTTCAGCACTTTCCCCAGGCTGAGCCAGCTGACAGCTGTGTGGAGTCCTCCAAAAGAGCCACAAACTGTCTGTGATCCATTGCCCACGCCCTGATGAAGTTTATTATTTTAGTAACAACATCAGTAACATGGTTGATTTTTAGCACTGACTTGCACAACACATGTTGGTGTATAATTCAATGCAAAAACACCTATTTTTGATCTGCATCGATTTCTGTCACTTTATCTTGCATGCGTTTCAAAAGTCCGACATTTTTCCATGTAAAGCCGGGCGTACACTGTGCAACTTTTTCACTCGCAGCACTCAGCTTCAGCTCAAAGTGTACGACTTCCTCGCAGAGCAGATCTCACGAGTCATGTGCTCACACTGTACGACCCAGTTCTCGGATGCGACCTGACTGCTCACACTGTACGTCTGGTAGCAACACGTCGGCCCTAAAAATGTGCTAAAAATAGCAGTTTTTACTCAACACGTCAGAGTTTTTTGTCTTGTCTTGCCTGTTGTCCTTCGGGAGTGCTGCTGGAGGACACAGGGATTTATGGGGGTTGGATGAGGAAAACGAAATAAAGAAAGTAAATCTGTGTTTTGTGATCAGTTTAATTTGACATGAACACGACAAACACGCTTTCTTGACAATCTTTGTGAGTAAAAAAAACGTGTAGAAACAAAAACGAACAGCGTGTGTTATTAGGGAAATAGCGAGCGACCGGCGTTGATGCAGGATTGCGCGCGCATGCGCCGTGAGCGGTTCTGATACTTTTTGGGTCGCAGCTGCTCGCAGCGCCGCTTCAACAGTGCGATACCCTCACGAGGGACGAGCGAAATATTAAACACACCAGAGTGCGACCTCACGACTGCTGATCGGCGGCTGGTCACGTGGTGTTAATCGCCTCTCGTAACCCCCTGTACACTACACGACCGCTCGGCGCAAAACTCGCCCCGATGTCGTGGCTTCTCGCACGACTGGAAAATCGGCTCAAAAAAGTGAAAAAGTCGCACAGTGTACGCCCGGCTTAAGATTTGGACAACCGTCTGTTGTGACACCTGACAGTCTCTCCCATTTCAATCCCAGCGTGTCCGTGCACGCATTTACCTCTGTAGAAACATCACTCCCTGTCGTTGTCCCTTTCATCGACCGCATTGCTGCCCGCTCCTCTGTGAGCTTGAAGTCCGTTATCCCCGGACAAATACGAGCAGCTGGGCTGTGTCCCGGACATCACAGCTCCCGTCTAATGAGAAAAAGTCAAAACTTGCCACTTCACGTTGCAGCTGAAGCTCCAGGTTCCCCGCAATGTCCTCGATCCTCCTGGTCACGGTTCGCCTGGACAGCGGGATTTGCTCAAATGCGCCTTTTTTTCAGGGCATATTAGTGCGGCAGAGTCCTCCATGCACTCTTTGACAAACT